TGATTTGCTTGTGTTCTTTGTAGATTCTTGTTATTAGCCTTTTATCAGATGTATAGCATACAAATATTTTCTCCCATTCTGTAGGTTGTCTATTCACTCTGTTGATCATATCCTTGGCTGTGCAGAAGCTTTTTAATTTAATCAAGTCTCATTTGTTTATTTTTGTTGTTGCTATGATTGCCACTGGGGTGGGTCTTCTTCATAAATTCTTTGCCTAGGCTGATAACTAGAAGAGTTTTTCCAACATTTTCTTCTAGAATTCTTATGGTTTCATGTCTTAGGTTTAAGTCTGTTATTCATCTTGAATTAACTTTAGTGAGTAGTGACAGATTTGGATCCTGTTTCAATATTCTACATGTGGCTATCCAATTTTCCCAGCACCATTTTTTGAGTAGCAATTATTTCCCCAGTGTATATTGTTGTCTGCTTTGTCAAAGATCAGATGACAATATGTGGATGATTTTATATCTGGGATCTCCATTCCGTTCCATTGGTCTCTATCTCTATTTTTATGCCAGTACCATGTTGTTTTGGTTATTATAGCCTTGTAGTATAGCTTAAAATCTGGTAGAGTGATGCCTCCCAATTTGGTCCTTCGGTTTAAGTTTGCTTTGGCTATTCAGGCTCTTTTCTGGTTCCAAATGAAGCATAGAATTATTTTTTCGAGATCTGCAAAAAATGACATTGGCATTTTGACGGGGATTGCACTGAATCTGTAAATCACTTTAGGTAGTATGGACATTTTAACAATATTGATTCTGCTAATTCATGAGCATGATATGTTTTTCCATTTGTTTACATCCTCTACAATTTTCTTCCTCAGTGATTTGTAGTTCTCCTTGTAGAGGTCTTTCACCTCCTTGGTTAAATATATTCCTAGGTACTCTATTTTCTTTGTTGCTATTATGAAAGGTATTGAGTCTTTGATTTGATTCTCCACTTGACTGTTGTTGGTGTATGGAAATACTACTGATTTGCATACATTGATTTTGTAACCTGAGACTTTGCTAAATTTATTTATTATTTCAAGTAGTCTCTTAGCAGAGTCTTTGGAGTTTTCTAGATATAAGATCATATCATCAGCAAAGGGCAATAGTTTGACCTCTTTTTTCTCCATTTTGATACCCTCGATTTCCTTCTCTTGCCTGATTGCTTTGGCAAGGACTTTCAGCACTCTGTTGAATAAAAGTGGTGACAATGGGAAACCTTGTCTAGTTCCAGGTCTACATGGAAATGTTCTCAATTTTTCCCATTCAGTATGATATTGGCTGTGGGTTTGCCATATATGGCTTTTATAATTTTGAGGTAAGCAAAAGATATGAACAGAAACTTTTCAAAAGAAGATAGACTAATGGCCAATAAACAAATGAAAAATTGCTCAACATCACTAATCATCAGGGAAATGTAAATCAAAACCACAATGAGATATCACCTAACCTCAGTGAGCATGGCTTTTTATCAAAAAGTCCCAAAACAATAGATGCTGGCATGGATGTGGAGAGAAAGGAACACTTATACACTGTTGATGGGACTGCAAACTAGTACAACCTCTATGGAAAATAATATGGAGATTCCTCAAAGAACTAAATGTATACCTACCATTTGATCCAGCAATCCCACTACTGGATATTTACCCAAAGGAAAAAAAGTCATTTTATCAAAAAGACACTTGCACTCAAATGTTCATTGCAGCACAATTCACAATTGCAAATATGTAGAATCAACTCAAGTGCCTTTCAATTCATGAACAGATTAATAAAATGTGGTATATATAGACCATGGAGTACTGCTCAGCCATAAAAAATGAATTAATATCTTTTGTAACAATCTGGATAGAACTGGAGACCATTCTCCTATCACAAGAATGCAAAAACAAACACTGCATGTAATCACTATTAAATTAGAGCTAACCCAACAACACTCATGTGCTCAATAGGAAGTAAAACTCAATGGAAATCAAACAGGGTGAGGTGGGGAGGAGGGGGATAGGTGAAATCATACCTAACGGGTACAATGTACACAATCTAGGAGATGGGCACACTTATAACTCTTTCTCAAGCAGTACAAAAGCAATCTATGTGACTGAAGCATTTGTACCCCCATAATATTCTGAAATTAAAAAAAATTTTAAATACAACCCAAACAAAAATGTTAAACTAGCTTTGTTGAGGATGCATTGACATATAATAAACTGCACATATTTAAAGTATGCAATGTGATAAATTTTGACACATGTATACCTGTGAAACCATCACCACAATCAAGATAGTGAATGTATCCACCAACCCCACCCCAAATTTTCTTGTTCTCCATTGTAATCCCTCCCTTTGGCCTTTCCCTGTCCTCCTGCCCACTGCAAACAAACCACAGAAGAGTAAGTCTTAATTCTTCACTGACACAAGTGATAAACCTGACACATCCTAGAATTTAATAACTTCATTGTAACCCAGACATCAAAAAGGCCATCTCTTTTTCTCTGTACGAGAAGGTGGGCTATAGACACATGGCCGCTATCACACATTTGTGACTCTGATTTTACCACCTGGTTAAATAGGATACCAATATTACCCCCGATCCTCTAATTCTCCAAGGCTTTCTGATTTTTCCTTCTTACCTCTTCTGTTCTTACACTTTTTTTTTCTTACTAGCAAATTCCCTAAGATTTCTACTATTTCATAGGAGATCTCTCTACTCTACCCTGTGACATCAGAAATATCTGCACTTCCTGAATGGTTTTTTAGGAAGGTTTAGACCAAGTGTCAGATGCTTTTGAAAATGATGCTTCATGAAGTACTGTCATGACACACGAGATAAGGTTACCATTCATCTAAAGAAATACACATATGTAGTAACAATAAATGATTTTTTTATGTATCCTATACAGGTGAATATGTCTGCAAACTGATATTAGATATTTTTGAATATGAATCCAGAAACCAAATAAATGTTATGCCCATCCGAATTTTGGCAAATGAAGAAATGAAGGTGATATGCGACAACAATCCTGTATCTTTGAACTGCTGCACTGAGAATAATGCTAATTGGAGCAAAGTAGAATGGAAGCAGGAAGGAAAACTAAACGTTCCAGGTGACAATGTTAGATAAGTCCTTTGCAAATAGGTTTCTGCCTTTTGGCCAAGTAAAAATGGGAGACGTGGTGGGTGGAGGGAGAAATGTCAGTGACTGTTTTTTACTGGACTTAGACTATGAAAAAGAATTAGGTTTGATGCCTGCTGCAGCTTAACCACTGTAGAGAAAAACTCCAGTAATACATGCATACAAGTATGATGCTTGTGTTGTAGACAAGATCCCAGCAGGAGAAGGCCCAAGACGGAGTGATCCCAGTGACTTCAGTCAAAGGCATCTCAATGGGGAAAAGCTTATCCCACCTTCCTTTGCATCTTCAGCGAAGAGCTAAGGATGAGGTCATTCACTTTTCATTGAGCTCTGACTTTTTCTTATTTCTGTGTCTCTTTCATTGGTGCCTGTCCTTCTCAATTCTTTGTCTTCCTGTCCATGCTTACTTACCTCAATATTCTCTCTCTGTCTCCAGCTTTCTCTCTCTCTGTGTGGATCTGTTTAACTCTCAATTGTTTCATGTTAATTTCTGATCCTGTTTGCTTTTGTTTTAGATCTGATATGTTCCCTGAAGTTACCTATCCTCCAGTTTATACTGATAACAGTAATAATAATAATAAATGAAAACAGCAATACTGATTCTGTTTTGTACAACAGTTTATGATTAACCCATTTTTAAAAAATATGTTATCAGCCGCGCACAGTGGCTCTTGCCTGTAATCCTAGCACTCTGGGATGCTGATGCGGGAAGATCATTGAGGTCAGAAGTTCAAGACCAGCGTGAGCAAGAGCAAGACCCTATCTCTACAAAAAAATAGAAAAATTAGCCCGGCTTGGTGGCGCACGTCTGTAGCCCCAGATACTCGGGTGGTTGAGGTAGGAGGGTCATTTGAGCCCAAGAGTTTAAGGATGCAGTGAGTTATGATGACGCCACTGCACTCTAGCCAGGGCGACAGAGCAAGACTATCTCAAAAAATAACAATAAAATATATGTTATTGCTTTTAAACTTGACCACAAGTTTGAAGCTGGCATTTTTAGCTCCAATATGTAAATAAGGAAATTGAGGTCCAGATTAAATGGCTTATCCAAGTTTGTCACAATATAAAAAGAAAAGAAAGAATTAGGACTTACCATAGATCTTCTTGCACAAGACCAGTGTTTGTCTTGGCTAAACTATTTAATATATGACCCATGCCTGATGGGCCAGCACTGGAGCAAGCTGGTCTGGCGGAGTTTGGACTATTTTCTACCTAGAAACTGCATAGAACAAGTGTAGCTCTTAAGAAACAACACTGTTACGTGCTCATCTGTAAAGAAAAAAAATCTTTAAAGTAAGATGTGGCTTTACCCATGGAATACATTAGTGTAGTGAACCTTCATTTTATAAAGCCTTTGCTATCGGACTCTATTAAATTACAACAAAATAAAACGGTCAATTTACATGTAAATTTTCCTGAGCACATCTATTTGGCAAAGCAAGTTTCACCTGTAGTGTTTGTATTTGACTTTAAAGTACTCAGAAGAATAGGAAAGGTATCTGGTAACTGTTGAAAATATTGACACATGATACATGTAGTCACTTCCCTGATTTTTAAGGAAGGGGAGGTGTAGGCTTCCTGAAGGAACTGCCAGGTGGAGAAGGACCTTGTGCAATTCCTGTGGTACTGACTTAGAAGATTTCAGCCATGAGAGGTGAAAAACCTTGCCTTCTGGCAAAGGAACCAGGAAGTCTGTGGCGCAGATGCTCAGGGACCTCGCTGGGAATGCCCAGAGTGGCTGAAGGACTGCAGAACAATGGATTTCCTGCCACAGGGCTGGCTGTCTGGGGACCTGTGCGGTGGTTCTCTGATGAATTTAGCCGCTGCCCTGGCACCCTGCCCTTCTTTCTCCTGCCCTTGCTGGCCTTCTCTGCAGCTCTCTCTCTCCAAATTCCAAAAGTTATTTTAGCAGCCATTTTTTCTCAGTCTGTAGGAAGAAATCTAGCAAAATAATTTACCCAAAGCATTTGGAATTGAATGTATGATCCCCTCTCAGAAACGGTTGCATTTTCAAAGCACTCTGGAAAGGAATAAGAGAAGAGGTATTCAACACTGGTAGAATTTCTAACTTTAAGAGGAATAATATACAATGAAGATTTCCTACCACTTGGAGAAAAAGTGAAGGGTGTGTTCTTTAAGGGTATCATTATTATCATAAAATAGTTAGTTATTGTGAGTGGGGCACAGTGGCTCACTCCTGTAATCCTAGCACAGTGGAAGGCTCAGGAGGGAGGATTGCTTGAGGCCAAGAGTTCGAGACCAGCCTGAGCAAGAGTGAGACCCCCCAACTCTACAATTAAGTAGAAAAATTAGGTGAGTGTGGTGGCATGTGCCTGTAGTCCCAGCTACTTGGGAGGCTGAGGCAGGAGGATCACTTGAGCCCAGGAGTTTGGGATTGCAGAGGGCTATGATGTTGCCACTGCACTCTGCCCAGGGCAACAGAGCGAGACCCTTTCTTAAAAAAACCAAAAAAAGTTATTGTGGCTGATTCAATGTATTCAACTCTGTTTTCAATGTTTATGTTTGTCATCTGGGTTTTTCTCCCCACTTCCCCATCAAAAGTCTTGCAAAGTAGCTACCACCATCACCATTTTACAGATGAAGGTTTGGTATATTATCTAAGCGCAGATTTCAGCAACAAAATTGTAATCACCTACTGTCTCTTCTCCATAAAGCAAATCACCAACTTATTAGCTCCATGCAGTACTTCTCACGCGGGACCCTTGAGTTGCACAGCTGCAGGGGTATCGTATGAAATACCACACCGAGTGATGCGAATTTGGAGATTCTGCCTTTGTTTTCTCAGTTTACCATCTCTTTGAAGCCTTATCTCCACTCTTTTCCTATGTTTCAGCCTGACGGAACTACTTATTGTTCCTTGAACAAAATCCACATGATGCTACCTTTGTGTTTTGCTTACATCAGTGGTTTTCTGATTTACCCATAGAATCCTTTCTTCAATGAAAGTCTTGCATGGTTGTTTAATACAGGGCTTCTCAACCTCCGCACTATTGATATTTTGGGCCAGATAATTCTTTGCCATGTGGACCTGTCCTGTGCATTGTATTATAGGACGTTTATCAGCATCTTTGATTGATAAACCCACTAGATTCCAGTAACTCTCCCAGCTGCAACAATCAAAAATGTCTTCAAACATTGCCAAATGTTCCCCCACAGAGGCAAAATTGCCCCCTAGTTAAGAGGATATCTAATGTGTAAAGCAGACCAGAGTGGAGCTGCTCTAGTTAGTAATGGGGTAGGGGGCTTGGAGCCCACACAGCTTATAATTCTTCTACAACTCAGTGTCCGCCCCTGAAGCAGCTTAATGGAACTCCAAGTTCTCCAAGGAGCGCCGATTTATACACACCCAGCGCACACACACCCACACACCAGAACCACAGCCCCCGTCTCTATCTATTAAAACTCTAAATGTCTTTCCAAGGCCTAGAGCAAATCTTCCTCTTCTCCGAGTCTCCCAACTAAAATGTTCCTCCTTTAATCTACATAATATAGTGAGTTCTCTCTATGGAACCTACCTCCTATGCATTATCACTATTTCTATGCCTCTCTTTGTACACGCCATCCTGCATAGCTCATAGCCTTGCACATTAGTTTGATGAAATAGCTGGGTATTTAAGGATGTGTAAGGCTGGCAGGAGGAAGAAGGAAGGAGAATATTCCACATGTGCACACAGGCACAGAGGTGCAAAGCTGCAGGGCATGTTGAAGGCCCAGGACGTGACCTAATTTTTAAGAGAGGCATATAGAATGAGATAAAGTTGAGAGAGGCAGATTAAAGTCACACTGTGAATAATTGTGTATGTCATGCTAAGGAGTTTTGACTTTATCCTGTAGGAAATGGTAAGATTTTTAAGATAAAAAGAAGGAATGGTCAGAATTGAACTTCGGAAAAAATAAATTTTGAGATAGTGTCTCCAGTAGATTGAAGGGGCAAATAACCAAAAATAGAGACCTAGCTACAACAGTGTGTAATGACAGAAAACAGATAATGGGGCCTGTGTGAGTGACTGTGGGTTAGAGTGAGATGTTTCAGAAGTATAATCTAAAAGGTGTTTATGACTGAGTGGAGGTAAAATGTGAGTGAGTACAAGTAACTAAAGATGACTTTAAGATTTTTAATTCGAGGAAATTCCAATGGCAATGAGAGGACATATTGGAAGATGTGCAGGTTTTGTCTGGGGAGAATGAAGACGAGTTCTTCATCAGACATGTTGAGTCGAAGGTACATAAGATGAGAAATTGACACTCAGGAATTTGCTCCTAAAGTTTCCAACTAGAGTGTTTGTCTTAGAAATAGAGCAGGAGTCATCCAAATATAGGATATAATAGAGGCCATAGGTGCACATGAAGTTGCCCAGCAAGAGAGTGGAGAAAAAGATGAGGCAGCATTTAATAAGGGAACAGAAGGTGGGGATCCTGGGAGGGAGCCCCAGAAGGAGGGATGGAGAGAAAAGAAAAGCAGGAGACACCCACAGAATCAGCAGCACCCAGGACGAGAGAAGGTGGTCAGCAGAGCTGGACACTGTGGTCCAGGTAGCATGAGAAGAGGCCACTGGATGTGGGAAAGAGGGGGTCACTGTTGGCCTTAAAGAAACACTTTTGGTGGAGTAGAGGGTGAAGAAGGCCAACTGCAAAGATTTGATCAAATATGGGAGTGAAACATTAGAGGTGGCAAATGTAGAAGCATCGTGGAATGAAGAGAGGAAGAAAATACAGTAGTGGCTAGGGGGCTTTCAGACTGAGGAAAGACCCCTTTAGGAAGGGGAGACTTGAGTCTATCTGGGAGTGGAAGAGAAAGAACCAGAGGAAAAATTAAAGACACAAGGGAGAGGAAAGGCAAAGGATGAAGTGATATCCTGGAAGAATTGGAGGAAGTGGATTTCAAAACCTAAGTGGAGCTGGGTAGAGGTGCTTGTGCCTATGAGCTAGGAGGTAATTTAGTCAAGTTGGATGAAGATGAAAATCAGTATGGTGTTTTTAAATCACCATCCTGGGGACTAGGGAAAAATGCTGTTACATGTGTCAACCAAAATATTTCAAATATCATTGATCAGCCAGCCAGAGCTGAAAAAGATGCATTTATGTTGGAACTCATCAAGAGGCTTATTCTTCCTTTTTTTTTTCATTTTTAGAAGATTGATAGTGTATGAAGAATGCCTCAGGAGAGCCTGTGGACAGGCAATGTGGGAGGAAAGATAGTGAAGGGGATGGAGTGGAAAAAACAGCTGCCAGGGTGTCCTAGAATCCCAGGCAAGAGGAAAGATGGCTCAGAGGGTGACATTTCTGGGAGGGGAGAGGAAAGTACAGGAAGGGAGCTATTTTGGTGGGGAAACTGCTGGTAACTGAGAAAGCATAAAGTTGAAGCTTCCACTAAAATGCAGAGATTTAAAGAGGGAACAACTTACAAGAAATATTCTTCAAACGAGGTGACTATCAGATGTTGCAGTAGTGTTCCGTCCTCCCTTTAATAATAATAGTCCTCTAAATAATCTGACTTCTTTTTTACTTTCGTTAAGTCATACCGAAACACCTTGCTTCTCTTTGTCACTTTTCACATCTCAGGGACCCTCACTCACAGTCTTTGTCGGGGCAGGCCCCAGCCAGGCACTTTTCTAAGAGTACATATACGAGGCTGTCCAAAAAGTACCCAGCCATTGTTACTATAATGAGAACGGTTTGCGCAACATCGATGTAACCCGGGGGCCAAGGAGAGTGCCTGGGATGCACATGCGTGAACAGTGACGCCTTCCCTGTTCTAGCCAGTGGGGCGCTAGACGCCGTTGAGTGAGCCTGTGTACTGTGTGGCCGTGACATTCAAAGTGACTGAGCTAGTGGAGCAACAAATCTGCATCAAATTTTGCCTTAAGCTTGAACGTGCCTCGCCGGAAACTATTTGGATGATTCCGAAGGCTTTCGGGTACGATGCAATGAGTGCAGCGCAAATAAAAGCGTGGCACAAACGCTTCAAAGATGGTCGAGAATCTATTAAACGTGGTCCACGTTCTGGAAGGCCTGCAACAAGCAGAACACCTGAGCATGTTGAACATGTAGGGTTAGGTTAAGAGACACTGGGAGAACTGTGTGAGGTCCCAAGGCATCTACTTTGAAGGGGACTGAGGCATCATTGTGCTAGGTACAATGTTTCTTGTGTCTTGTATCTTCTTCAATAAATGTCTCTATTTTTCCTATTACATGGCTGGATACTTTCCCGACAGACCTTTTATACATATATAAAATCTCATTTAACCTTACTATAGTCCTGGGCAGTAACTACTATTATTTATCCCCATTTTACACACGTAGAACTGAGGCACAGAGCAGTTAAGTGACTTTCTCAACAATACTCTGCTAGCAAGTGGTGGAATGTGGGATTTGAAGCCAGGTAACCTGGATGCAGAGGCTTCAGACTTAACTGCTATTCATCTCGCCTCTCCATTCAAAGAGAAGGAAATCTATTTAAATAGTAACTCCCTTTTCCTGATTTGGCCTCTTGGCTACTAAATCACAGAGTTATCCAACTGTAACAGCAAGAGAATTGCTTGTCATTATAGGAAACCCTGAAACAGACATAGATTCTGGCTGCAGCAGATACACCCTCAAGGCTGATGGAACCCAAGTCCCAAGCGAGTCGTCTGGAACAACAATTGTCTACACGTGCGAGTTCATCAGCGCTCACGGAGCCAGAGGCAGTAAGAACATAAAAGTGACATTCATCTCTGTGGGTAAGGACTCCTCTTTCAGTAGAAATTTTAGCCATACATGTGCTGCACCCTAAATAAGGGCTGCCAATCACCTGGGAATATCTCTAGCAAAATAAAGCAAGCTCTTCTGTGGGAGTCGGGGTGTGGTTAGAGCGAATCAGACAATGAGAGATAGAAGTGGGTTTCCCTCTCTGCCATTTAAGTTCAGATGGAGGCTTTTTAAAATCAGGAAGGGTAGTGGTGGGACACAGTGAAGGACCCTGGGGCATAAGGCGGAAGGTGGCCTGGGAAAATAGTTTCACACTCAGGTTGGTCCTATTATCATTGAATGTGTAGGGCAATGCCCCAAATTCCCCCCTTCCCCCAGAGCCCCATTGTCACCTTGAATTTCAGCAGCCTGGCTCACTCCCCCCCCCAACTACCCCCACCAGGGTCTCTCCCCTCCCACATCACATCTTCTAGAGCTAATGCTACAGAAAACTTTAATAATCTGACACTTGGTGCTTATTTTGCAGTTGAAACAAGTGGTTTTTAATCTCTCGATCAGTTTAGTTAGGCCTCTTAAAAGTATCACTTTTCTTCATATCATAAAGCATTATAATTTCACCTCATCTGAAAAAATAGGGCATTGAAACTTGTTTTTCCACCTTTCTTACAAAAATGAACTATTTAGATTAATCATCAGATCACTTTTGAACAATTTCAGAGAAAGGATTGACACAAGCAATCCTTCTTACTCTTGTTCACGTTTTTCTGCTATCATGACTTAGCGTTTTTACAAAGATCAAGATTAGGCTGACATGGGCCCATAAAAACTTTAGGGTTAAAACCGGGAGTGCAAAGCTGCTCTCACTACAGAAAACTGCAGTGTTCCAAACACCCATGAGCTCTTCTAGGGTAATAATGTTTTCACGTAAACCCAATCTTTCCTCAATTGACTCAATAGGAATTTGCCACTACGTGCAAAAACGGGACATATTTAGTCCTTGCTGAAAATCGCCGATCTGGTAGTTTGGAACCTCATCTGAGAATCAAGAGAACCAAATTCGGGGTTCCATGGGCCTTTTTCTTTCACTCTCAGAAACAGCTAAACCTTAGAGAGCCACCTCGAGACCCCTTCAGTCAGTGAGGGCGACACAAAGACACGTTAAACCTTGCTGGAATGACTTTGGGGCTGTATCTGAGCAATTGAATCCCAACTTCTAAGTGGCACTGTGGAAAGTCTTGATTTCTTTTCATTATGATGAAGAATGCGATTTTACGTTGATTGGAAAAGGTGGCCAGCGTCTCCAGACAGGAAGTTGTTCACCTCTAGAGGTCCAAAGTGCTTTCAAAGGCATCTTGAAGTGCCAACCACGTAGAAGCTATGCTCAGAGAGAAGTGGAAAGATAGAACCAGAGGCAAAAATAGTGGGATGTTCATAAAAGCTTTGGTATTTGTAATGGCCTTATTAACATTTTCAATGACCGATTTCTCACGAATCTATGAGGAACTTCTCAGAAAGAGGAGTACATATGTAGTAAAATTAATTATAATTCCAATTTTATGTATATGTAATTATATTATGATAGTTATATAGCTCATAATTATAGTGAAGATGCCCATACATCCTAGTTTGCCTGAGACAGTACAGGTATAATCATTTGGGAAATACACCCTCTGATCCTCCTGCTTAATGTAGTTACAGAATTCACTCTTTTGCTTATTAAGCACTGACCGTGTACTAGACCCAGCGCTGCGTGCTGGAGATGCAAACACACAGAAGTCAAAGGCTTGCCCTTCAGGGCTCATATTTTCATGGAGAAGAGATGTAGAAAGGGAGAAATTAATGTGCAATATGGTATTATAAAAAAGTATCTTAAAAGAGTGGAGAATGAAGCTGTTCCGGGAACCCAGCGTTTATTCTCCCTTGAGTTGCCACAGAAGAGGTTGCAGGGGAGCTGGGGTGAAGTCAACACTCCTAAGTTTGCACCCTTTTGCCCTGCTGACCATCAGGAGCTAATTCCAGCCTCGGAGGGGAAGTGCACGAGGTCCTGAGGCATGTGATGGAAATGAGTACAGTTCAGAGCTCTACCGGGAACAGCCTAGACACAAGTAAAGCCCAGGAGCAGCAAGGTACCAATCCCACATTGACACAAGTAGAGTCAGGACCGTCCACGTTTTCTGTCTCTCTCTGAAATTTCACTCGTGTGTCAATGTCACCAGAAAGACTAAACGTTGGACTTGTTGTCGGTTTTGTTTTGTCTGTTTTGTTTGCATTTTTTCAGCCAACCTAACAATAACCCCGGACCCAATTTCTGTTTCTGAGGGACAAAACTTTTCTATAAAATGCATCAGTGATGTGAGTAACTATGATGAGGTGTATTGGAACAGTTCTGCTGGAATTAAAATATCTCAAAAATTTTATACCACGAGGAGGTATCTTCATGGAGCAGAGTCGATACTGACAGTTGAGACCTCGACCAGGGAGTGGAATGGTGAGTGAAAGGCCAGACACTGTATTGTGCTGCCTGGGCCCCTGGACACGACCAATAATAGTTACCATCCCTAGAGGGTCTGCTCTTAACTATGTCTTTACATTTAATGCAACAGTCCTTTTGAGGGAAGATGCCCTTATTCCTACTTTACAGATGGAAAGACTGAGGCTCAGAGAGGATAATAAATATGCCTAGGCTTAAACAACTCAAGTTGCAGAGCCAGGAATGGAACTAATCTCTTGGATTCCAGAGCCTGTGTTCTTGCTAGTAGGTTAAGAGGATTGTTTTTAAAAGGACTTTTACTGGCCTCTTGGGAGAGTTTCACCCAACTGTGGTATTAAAAAACTAGTTAAAAATTTTGTATGTCTTTTTTCAATGAAGGAAACATTTTTATTTCCTATTTACCCCTATACATTATTATGAGGAAATGCAAATCTTTGGAAGCAAAGAGGATTTGATAGACAGAACTGCTGCTGTAATAGCTAACATTTATTGAGCCCTTACTATGTGACAGGCACTATGCTAAGTATTTCAATGAATTAATTCATTTAAAAATAATAAACCTAGAGAATAGTGTTGTTATTATCCTCGTTTTACAGATGAAAGAACTGAGACTCGAAGAGTGTAAGTAAATTACCCAAGATTATTTATCTGGTAAATGGCAGAGCCAGGATGCAAACCCAGTTTGCCTGGCTCCAGTGGCCAAGTCTTAACCACTCCACTCTGAAGAATTTCATTCACTATAAAGTTAATCAGTCTAGATTCTGCAAGTCCCATGTCATCTTTATTTTTTCATATAAGGCCTACCCAACATTATAAAATAACCAGTTATTGTTTGGGCTGCACTTGGTAGTATACAACCAGGAAATAGAAGTATTTTTCTGCCAGGCTGAACTCAAACCTACCCTGTCCAATTGCTCTTCCTACTACTGGGCAACACCCTAAGAGGAACTATAGCTTTTCTAGTCACATTAAACTATTAAACAGTCCCATACCAGTTACTGAAAAAAATCCATTCTGATCTAAATCTACTTACACTTTGATTTTATATTCAATTTAAATTCCCCTTCCTCCTAATGGAAGTTAAAAGGAATTTCTTTTCTCTCCTGTTCTACTTCTTTTCCCTCTGGCGAGCTGTTACTTCTGGATTTTCCAGAGTTGGGGCAAAAAAAAAGGAACGTAAAGAAAATTGAAGGGTCTTACTTAACCCCTGGGGCCATTATAATCTTGCTATGCTATCTCCATGGCAGCTGCCCCAATGGTGGCTCATCCTCTGATGCCATGCTGTCCTGGGACCTGAGGGGCCTGCTCACTTTGAGATGGGAAGAGAGGGGCATTGTGACACCACAATGCTCCACCAGGCTAAAACTCTCTTCAAAAAACTCCCCATCCCTGCACACATCAAAATTCCCATTTATTCCTTGGGTTGGTGAAACAACCTTGGAGTAGGAATTGGAAACCTGGCTTGAAATCCTGTTCTTCTGTATGACCTGGATAAGCCACTTAATTTTATTTGAAAGTAAGTCCTTCCAATGCATGGAGAACCCAGGGAGGCGAGTCTATCAAGCATTTTTTTCTCCCATGTCCTGAAAGTTGTGATGTGCCCTTACTCAAGCTCGAGAGGGAAAATTAAGCCTTTTCTTAACCTTCCCAGAAAATGCCTTTTAAGAGCGATTATTTCATTCCTTCTCATTTTTGCTTCCTTCCACTCAGGAACCTATCACTGCATATTTAGATACAGCAATTCGTACAGCATTGCAACCAAAGACGTCACTGTTCACCCGCTGCCTCTAGAGTCAAATATCATGGTCGATCCTTTGGAAGCTAGTGTTTCATGCAGCGGTTTCCATCCCATCCAATGCTGCATAGAGGAGGATGAAGACTACAAAGTAACTTTCCACATGAGTTCCTTGGTCTTTCTTGCTGGTAAGATGCCGATTGCTAAATGGTTGGGGTATGTTATTTCACATATGTGAAGTCTAAAAACTTACTATTAAGATAGAGATCAACAAACACTAGGACTGTATGATCACAGACAGAATTAACAGAGCAGAATTCCATGAGCCTTCTATTTTCCTTGGGCGGTTCATTGGTTTGCAGCTAAATCTCGGGAGTCTGTGAGGGTGGAGCCCATTCTTTTTGGTGGGAGCTGTTGAAGACAGTATTAAGATACCTTCATAGGATTTCCACTTCCTCAATGTGGCAGACTAGATATTCTGATAGTCTCTCTCTTGATGCTGTAAAATAGCATACTATAAAAGTGCCACAGAAATAACCAAGCACCAAGAACATAGAGGGGAAAAAAATAGAAATGAGATTTTAACTAATGCTGAAACTTCCTTGCGAACATTTGCCAGGATCAGAAAGAAACTCAGAATCTTGGGTTTAAGCCTTTGGATGGCAAAAAAGAAAATACTTTGCTCCCTAAGCAGTAGCTGAGGCATCTCCAACCAATTGGCACAGTATCGCAACCTTCAAAGGTGACATGCTTAGTAAAAGAATAGGCTAGGAAAACAAAATCCATCTGCCAGAGTTGAGAGCATGGCCTTATCTCTGGGTTAATGAAAAGTTTCCCCTGAGAAGTATAATTGTCCTGCTGTCACCCAGGTTTGGAATTTGAATTTGTATTGCCTATGTGATTCAGGACCTCCAAGCTGAGCTCAAAGTTATCCACTGGTAGCACCCTATTGGCGTTTGGAAAAAAAAAATACAGATTCTCTCTGGTAGACTGTGCCCTCAGTCCAGATCCCTCAGGATTCAGAGAGATTAAGGTCAACCAAACATGAGCTCAAGATGGGAGTGGGGAGGAGGGCATGATGGGTGTATACAAACATAATGAGTGAGATGAGCACTGTCTGGGGGATGGACACGCTTGAAGCTCTGACTGGGGGGGGAGGGTGGCAAGGGCAATGTAACCTAAACATTTGTACCCCCATAATATGCAGAAATTAAAAAAAAAAACACAGACACCTTCATGAGGGATTTACAAGCTCATTCATTCTTTCAATAACTTGAAATAAATTGAATAAATTCATTCTTAGGGACTTGCTCAATGCAAGACACCATAGTAGGCAATGAGGTAAATATGTAAATATATAAAATCACATAAAATGAATGTGGCACATTCCTGGGAAAAGTTTGGACAAGTTTATCCATGTTGTATCATCTTAACAAAATTTGTGCTTTGGATACTCATGTTGTGACTTAATTCTTTCGACATCTTTATTTTTAGCAAAAGAAGTTAATAGAAATCAAGTGTGCTACAAATATAATGTCGATGCAAACTCAGTTTCCTGGTGTTCCAGTACTATTGATGTGTTTTGTCACTTCACCAATGCTGCTAATAATTCAGTCTGGAGCCAATCTATGAAGCTTAATCTGGTTCCTGGTAAGAGCATTTTAAATCACTTTAAAATGTTATCATCAGGAGCAGGGACTCCTTTATTCATTTGCTTTCTTATTCATCCACTCAATAAATATATGTTAGACACCTTCACTGTGGCAGGCCCTGGGCTCACCATGGGGGATTGAAAAGAAATAAGTACGTTCTGTGGCCTCCAGCCTCGGGCACAGACATACGGATAAAAAGTGTTATCACATATAACACAGTAAGTGCTAACCCAGAGATGTGGGGGGTGGCAGGAAGGGGCCACCCGGTTTAGCTTTGCTGGAGGCAGGTGAGGAGGAAGTGATCCACAAGGCCTTGCAGGTGAAACTGTACCTCAGCTACATCTGGGAGGCTGAGCAGTTCACCAGGCACACAGGAGTGGACAGTATCCATGTGAGGTTGAGATTCTTTTGAAGTTGCAGGAAAGGGAGGATGTCCCTACTAGCACTCTTTCCCGAGACAGGGCTACATGAAAAACTGATCTCAAGAAGAGACAACTGCCTTTCCCCTCCTTTGCTGTCACTGAGCCAATAAGCCCTCGTATAGTATCTTCAAGGTCCAAGGTCCTGACTTGTGGAGCTGTTTCTATAAAAGCCCACACTGAAGAGCTCCCCTCGGTAGCAACAGAGGGGCAAGGGATAAATGATGACCCTGGGCTCCTACCATAAGCCACCCTCTGACCCCTTCTAACTCTAAATCTTCCCAGTCACAGGACTCCTAGTGCATGAAGCACCCACGGCTCTATCACTGAGCTTGTTTGAAGTTACTGAAAATTTTGTGGTCATTCTCACACATGTTTGGTAACTGGGCCCTGGAAATCAAAGCAGGAAGCAATTTAGAGTCACTGTCCCCTGACCTGACCAAGCACAGCCCCTTCCGGGGGCAGCAAAGGACACCTACCTCATCACTGTCCCTGCCCTCCTTCCCCTCATCTTAGCCAATATGTTTTATTCACTCATCTTTGTTCTTTCCTTTTTCTTGATACCAAATCTCATTTCACTTCCTTTACCCAGTAGAAATTACTCATTTATTTTAAGATTTTTATACAGTAGTTGAAATCGCAATTAGTGCTAAATAGAAATGTTGATGAGGAAGGGGTCTGCAGATTAGAGATTCTGCAACGAATGTCATTTCCCCATTCCTGTCTGGTCATGAGGAGAAGTAAGATAGAGCCGCCTTTAAGGGAAACCAGAAGAAACAAATGCGTAAACATATGAATTAGAAGATTCAGACCAGGGGTGCCTGGATTGTGGCGGTGCTTCTCAGCCTCAGTGCACACTGCAATCCCCAGCGAAGATTAGAAACTGCTGGTGCCTGAATCCCAGCCCAAGAGATTCTGATTTACTTAGCCCAGACACTGGCATTCTCAGAAGCTTCTCGGAGGATTCTTATAAACCACAGATGAGAATCCCTAGATTGAAGCATAAATTCTGTTAGGAAAAGCAAGTACAGATCACAGAAGTCAGATTTGTATGGAAAGTCAGGAAAGCAGTGAGGGGTTTTGGAAAATCATGGGCAAAATTAAGAAATTGGATAACTCTGAAAAGGTCACGGAAAGTGAAGAGAAATACAAATTCAAACATCAAAATCCTACCTAGACCTGACCCTATGTCCACTGTCTTTTCTCCTCCTGCAATTGTCGCTTTTATTTCTGTGTTCCCATCACAGGGGAGAACATCATATGCCAAGATCCCATACTTGGTGTCGGGGAGCCAGGGAAAGTCGTGCAGAAGCTGTGCCAGTTCTCAAACGTGCCCGGAAGCGCAGGCAGCCCTGTGGGCGGGACCATCACTTACACGTGTGTAGGCTCCCAGTGGAAGGAGACGAGAAACAACTGCATCTCTGCCCCCATAAACAGTCTGCTGCTGCTGGCCAAGGTGATCCTTAAACCTTTGATTCTGAGCTTATGGTGGGGAGCTCTGTCTGGCATATCAAATTTCTCAGCACTTAGGAAAGTGGGCTTTGGGATTGTGTTGCTCCAAAAACTACTTTTATTTGCTTATCTCCGAAGGAGATGCAACCCTAGAAATGCTTAAAAATGCTTAAATTCAAATATGAAGGCGACAGAATATGTGTTCTGGTCTAGGATCAGATGGATATCTTAACTTTGACTTCTCGGTACTGTTAGGTCGAACACTTTGCCTTTAAGAACTCCCCTCCCACCCCGCCCCTTCCCCTTTGAGGGCCGGCCCAACCCGACTATAAAAGCCCTAGATGGCCACCGTTTTGAGGCTGATGCCATCTTGACCTCAGTCTGTCTGTACGCAGATGCCCTCATAAACTTTTCTCCATCTACCTTGGCCTCATGCCTTCCTCCCTCAGCATTTCTAGCAAGTAACTTGTGTCCAATTACTTCCAAGGGGCAGTGGTATTATTCTCTCTCTCATTGCTCTTTTTGAAATAATTTTGATATCAAGCAAATAGATATAATCTTTTCAGAAACAGGAGCAATATAAAAAATAAGGTTCATCAATTAAAAACAATAGTTGGGCTAGATGCTTTTATAGGTTTGAGATCTTCTCACTCCTTGGAGGTAACTTATGCTTCTGAAGAAGCAACTACCCTGCGTCTCTTACCTAGAATAGAGCTTACTGCTATGTAGCAGGGGAAAATTCCTTTCTTTCTATCAAAATAAATAAGTGTCACCTCTACACTTAGTTTGTTGTGAGCTAGAGACCCTTAAAATCTATGAGCTACAATAAATAAATATTGATTATAAAAATAGTGGGGTTATAGCTAATGGTGACATCTTCAGACACCCAGCTCCAAATCCTCTCGCCACTGGAGGAAGAATTGAGAAAAAGGGGTAATAATTATTTATGTTTTATCTAATTATCTTCTGTCTCTCCTCTTGTCTCACACCAAATTCATTAAAGTATCTCCTACGTGCAAAGCATTATTATAAGTGCTGTCAAGGTAAATGGGCCAAATCAGAACTTGGCCTCTGATTTGATAAAGCATATAATATGATTGGGTAGTTATATACACATTAATTTTGGCTAGGACAAATCAAGAAATTTTGCTTGAAAAAGGTGGTATTTGACCTGGACCTTAGTGGATGAAACACAGGGGATATAAATTATCCTAATCAAGAAAGATAGATATTATAATTTGAACTCAATACAGTTTCGGTGGAGAAAAGATCATGCTGGTCCGTCATGCTCCATTTGATTTATCCATTCAGCAAATATTTATTGGGCACTTACTATATGCCAAGTTATGGGACTCGTACTATGTTAGGTATTATAGGATATGCAAAGGATATAAAGAAAAGTAACACATTGTCCACGTTGTTAAGGAGTTTATAACTTAATTGGAGTGATACTGAAATTAAAACATGAGATGACATTATTAGAGATTTAACAGATGTAAAGTATGTTAAATAAAACAAGCACTTTTGCATTCAGAGGAAGAAACTCCCCTGAGTTGGAACACTCATCAAAGGCTTCCTATAGAAGATAGAGTTTGTGCTCATTCTGTTTACAAGTAGGAGTTAGAGAGTTAGGAACCAGAAGTGTAATCATTATAGGTAGGATGACCATATGACCTATCATCCAAATCAGGACACATTTTGAGCATAAAAGAGGGAACTCTTAATAATCACACTAGGAGAAAAGATACAAGTCAGAACTATCCAAGGAAAACTGGGAAGGACAGTCACTGTAATGACAAGCTGGGGAAGTGACACGAGGAAAAGCAAAGAGTGGCAAATGTGCCTCCGCGCAGACTACCCCAGTGACAATTTTACTCAACTTTAATAGAGTAAAATGGAGTTCTCTAGCAATCACATCTATCTTCCCTTTCTCTTCCAGATAGCAAGGCTAGGTTAACTTAGGTTTCACTGTTCAAGGTCTGTATGAGGTCTTGTGTCACATTCCATTCTGAAGAGCATGCACAGGTAGTTTGGGGCTGAGTATGTTATCTTATGGGCCCTCCTTCGCTTGTGGGAATGGACAAAAAGGGAAACTACAGATCTGAGAGGTTCTGTCATGAATGGCTCAGCCAGGTTTGACAGCTGGAATGATTGGCGAGTTGTCTGTTTTGGCTTCTGTTTTACTAGGCTTTGATCCACAGCCCCTCTCAGGAAGAGAAGCTCCCTACGTACCTGAAGGATCTTTCTGTTAGCACAGACCAGGTGAAACATGAAATCCCCTCATCTCCTGGGAGCCTGGGAGCCGTTATTAACATCCTCGATTTGCTCTCAACAGTTCCAATCCACGTAAATTCAGAAATGATGACGGTGAGTTGGCTTAAGCTTTGCAGGAGTTGCGCGTCTTGCCTTTCCACTCCTCAGGACTTGTGTTCCAGAAACACGATTCCTTCCCATTGCAGCTTCTTCTCTGTCTTTTCCAGAGCAATGCTCTGAACAGTAGAGTCACCCGTCTGCCAGCTACAGCTTTTAGGAAATAAGGCAGTGTTTCCAGTATTTATTTTGGGAACTTAAAAAGATTTCTTTAGTGAATCTCAGCTTTAATTTCTTCATTAAAACAGAATGAATTCTCATCTGATTTCCAGGAAAACTGGGAATGAAAGGTTTTCAGAATATGTGCAAGGTGAGATTTTCAAAGCTCTAGCGCTAAACATGAACTTTGAAGCCATCAGGGTTCTGGGAGGAAAAAGAATTCACCCAGAAGACTTCAAATGAAGGGATTTAATGAAGGGGTACTTATAGAAGTAAAGCCAGGGTTAACAAACAAACAAACAAACAAAAGTTAATGAAGTACCCAGAGATCAGCAACATCACCAGCCCCCAAGTGAAATGATGCAGACAGAGCCCAGTGAGACCTGATGCCTTGGAGCGGGGACCAGTCCGCAGGAGCTGTGGTCTTGGAAGGCCACAGCTGTAGCCAGAGCCGTGCTCAGGAGAAAGAAGACCAAGGGCATGGGGAGTGGTGGGCAGCAGGGAAAATGTATCTCAGCTTCTCTCTTCTCCCACCCTCCCATCTCCTGCCAATGCCTGCCATTGGTAGAGCCCAACCAGAGGCCAACTGGCAACAAGCTTAGTGACAGAGTCCAAAGAGGTTATGTAAGTTTCCTAGGGCTGTCACAATTCATGACCACGGACTGAAATCAAGGTATCTGCAGGGCTACACCCCCTCCAAAGGCTCTAGAGGAGACTCCTTCTTTGCCTCTTCCAGCTTGTGGTGGCATCGGGCATTCTGTGGCTCGTGACTGCACGACTCCAGTCTCTGCCTCTGTCTTCACATGGCCTTCTCTTCTCCATTTGTCTTCTCTTCTGTCCCTGTAAGAACATTTGTCATTGGATTTAGGGCCCACCCAGGTAATCCAGGATGAATCCTTAATTTAATTACATCCACAAAGACTGTTTCTCCAAATAAGGTTACATTGGTGGGACTTATGTATTAGGATATGTCATTGGGTGGGGTGGGGGGATCATTTCAAGCCTCTATAGGGTTTGTACTTCCAGAGATCAGAACAAGGCAAAGACGGGCAGATGATTTATTTGGGAGCAGAACCTGATTGGAAAATGGTAATCCCAAGCCTACGGGAGAGAGAATTAAATTGTTTAGTATAAAAGAAAGATGCCTTTGGCAACACTCGCATAGCTCATTTGATGCTCAGGATTTGAGAGAGTTTTCTGAGACTTCCTCACCCTTGCTGGTGAGATACCACCCAACGAAAAGCCTTTACAGGCTTGAGATTTAAAATGAAATAAAAGAAAATAACAAGTATCTCTGCTAGCCTGCTGGATTGGCCTCAG